TGAATAAAAAAGTAATGAGGATTTTAGTAAGGTGCAAGCTTGCCCAAAAACGTGCGGTCCTAGGCGTATGTCTTATAGATTTCTTAGCGGTCCTTAATGTGTTAAGTGGAGCATGTGCGATAGGAAAATGAGATTTTTCCTTTGGAAGAAGTATTTGGCTACCGATTGTGGGAACACCTGATTTTGTCTCGTTTGAGATTGTGTGAAATTTAGTGCAATTCAGTGTCAGTTAAAAAAATTTACTTGAACTTTGGTTTTAAGGGCAAAAATCAAAAATGAACATAGTATCCTCCTCCTCAAAATTACTTGGTAACTACTAATTACTAGAGGCTTCATTAAGAACCTTCTCTGAGAATGACTTCTCTTCCTGATGTTTGTATTTTCGGCCACATATCACAGCTCTTATCACAGTGATATATGTATGTAGTCGGAGCCACGCTATGGCGAGGTCGTAAAGTCGGTCAGGCGTCAAAGTAAACACGTTTTAGCTGCCGGGACACGAAAATTGACAGAAATACGAGCAGATAAGTGCGAAGGATTCTTCTATCCAGCGAAAGTCAAACTGATTCTAATATATCTAGAGAAAACTGCGTGCAGCTAGGAGAAATTAGGGTTTTCCCCTCTGGGGAGGGGAAACAGAAAGAAATTACAAATATTTCAGATAGTGATCGACATATTATCCATTTGTAAATAAAGTACCATTTTCTACTCGAAATACCAAATCGTATGCCACCGTTCGTTTACCGTTCGAACCCTCAAACAGACTGCAACGCACGGCCTTCAGTGCCTTAACATCAATCGGTGCCGATTCTTCAGAGTTTAATTTACGACCTCGCTATATACCTTCTCTTACTCTTCCCTAATATTTCCTCGTTATCATTATGTCATCCTCTTCAATCCACTCTCTGTGTGCGCGAGTACGTGTGTATGTGTAATAAAGACACTAACAATAATAAAAATAACGATCAGCGAAGATGGAAGAATACGTAATCCATTGGAGACGCGCGAGGAGCGAAAATGATCGAGGAGTCGAGCGAATGATGAATTATCCGTTCGGTTGAGCGGGCGAGAAAGAGAGGCGACGCGTGCACGAAATCGTTTCCGCGGGTTGGCGTGTCGATTCGTGTTACGTTAGAAAGGAAAAACATCGTCGATGTGGTCGCGCTTCTGTACGTCGAGAGTCGAGTGTTACTTTCAGCCCACTTACCGGACGATCGAGCGACGACAAGACAGCAGCTATCTCTCACGTAATCGTCCCTCCTCAACAATCGAACACACACTGTCCCTGTTCTTCGTCTTCCCTTTTTCCAACGACACTGCTCCGGCCGAATTTTTCCTCTCCGAAACCTTCCGACGACTCCTCTTCTCGTTCCGAAACCTTCTTCTATCTCTGAGAGACCAGCGCGAAACAACTGATTGCGTATCGAACGGTTGAAACGAACGAGAACCGGTAGTTCAGGCACGACGGGTCGACGATTCGCGACGATTTATAGATTGGTCACAGAGACACGATACTTTCAACGCGGTTCCTTTCCCTCCGCGACGACTCTTGTCCCGATCGTGTCGTATCGAACGACGATGTCCAGGGAACGAGACTCGACGAATGAAAAATTGAGAAAAAAGGGGGAAAAATTAAAAAAAAAAAAAAAAAAAACTAGAAGAATAAAACGGTTGTAGTACGCTCGCGTTTATGCGACACCAATTATACTCGTACGAACGAACGCGTTGCCGCCGTGCCAAGTTGCGGACTGACAGCGATTACGCCGGTGGATTGCTTTTAACCGAGCCGCCATATTGGTACCGCATCCCTTCTACCTTTAGCGATCCTTCGACTCTCGACGCGAGACCGGCCGCCTTCATGGACAACATTCGTCGCGCGCTCCTCTTCCCGCCCTTCGCGATCCTTCGGCCTTTTATCCTTTTCTCTCCTTCCTGTGACGATTATTTCACCCGTGAATCATCCTCTCGCACCCGCCGCGCCGTTCGGATCTTTCCGTCATAGATCATTTTACAAAAATCTTCCTCTCCGATTTGTTTCGCCTCCCTCTAGCCTCCTCCACTTCGTCACTTTCGATGGAAATTTTTCCTTCGACGAGAAATCGACGAAATGTGACGTTTTACGAATCGAATCCTGTAGATCGTTTTACAAGAATCTTTAACTTAGCTGTTCTTCGGTGGAGATTTTAGACTTCGCCTCGTGGCTTTCGATCGAAATTTTCGTTTTAGAGAAATCGACGAGATGTGATATTTTAGGTAGGGTAGGTTACATAATTGCATTTATGTAACGCATATTAATTTTTGAATCGGATTTGCAAGGAACATGCGCAAGGGATAATTCAGAAACAAGGAAAACAGCGTGAAACGAGAGCGCTAGAATATTTTCTCGATGTTAATTAGCATTTTCTACGCGGTTAATTTTTTACATCGCACCGTTTATAACGACGTGACGCTGTTGAAAAACAAGGGTTTCGAGAATCTAGACACATTACGAAACGGTAGCTAGTCATTTTCCATGTATCTATTCATTAAGATCACCAGATGTTCGCGTGCTTCCTTTCGATATACCTACATTTTATCTTCACCTCTGTACTCAGGTCCAGATTTTTCGCACGATCGATTAACATATTCCGCATAACATCGTATACATTTAATAAAATCTCGATCTGTCTATTCGTAATGTGTTTTTTTCTCTCGCGAAAACATGGGTCGTGTAATCGACGAAGATGTGCAAAAAATAGCGCGTGTAATGATTGTCAATGGACACAAGAAACATTTAATTGCATTAATTATTGCTTCAACAGAATTAAATGCTATTTGCTTGACGACACCGCGACACACAAAAAGGCTAAAGAAGTGTTCGAAGCAAGTTCAACACCTCGGTGGCATTTGGTCGTTGGTCAAGAACTCGGCTGATTATTTTACTACGTTCTATAGTAGACGTGACCGATACCGACGTCAAGTGACCACCAATTGTCTTGACCAATCGCGAAAGCGCAAAAAAAAACCGACTTACTTTTCGAACGCTTAAAACGTACGAACTTGCATGAAATGCAAATAGATCATTTGCCTATTTCGAACGCTAGATAAATCCCACTACGTGGAACATCCCTCCCCGTGTGTCCAATTAGAATTCTAACCGAGAACTTTGCCGGTTTGACGAATTTGCGTTTCGCCAACAACGCCGGTACACGGCTTGCCACTTTGGATTTTCAATGTCTCATTATTCGATTCGTTTGGTATTTTGTTGCTCCGTCGTAACTGTCGACACACCTTCCAACCTTTGTATATCAAATTCCGAGACTCGCGGAATCGTTCGATGTTCGATCGAATTATGCATCGTTGGAAAGATTTCTGTGATCAAATTTCTATGCAAATATACACTTCGGTATTTCCTTGTTTACCGATGAGATTCTCTTTGAAGAAATTCAAGAAGATCGAGCCAAAATTCTTCAACTCACCAATTTGCAAACTTATTTCGACCAGCGAGAAACACAGAAGCGTTCCATTTGCGAGAAAATATTTTCGCCACGGTTTCGTACCTATATATGCAGCTACATTGTAGAAAGTAAAAACGTAACGACACGAACGTCCAGTCTCCTGACCAATCTACACCCTGACTTGCAGCTCTCGCGGCCTCTTATTGGTCGCGATTTTTCTTCGGCGTAACGGCTCGGTGTAAAGGAACATGTACCGCGTACAGGACGTAAGGAGAAACGCGCAACAGGCCGCGCACTTTGGACGAAAAAAAGAGTAGAGACATTTCGGCGGAGAACAACAGGAAAAGCTTGAATAAATTTCTAACGAACGCTACGTCACAACGGGTATCCTCCCTGTTTTACATTCTCCTTACATCTCGGTGCGCAATTACTCTTGTATTTGTCTCATGATTACTACCATATATTTCCAGAACCGAGAGAATGATTCAAGGCGGTTAAATATAGAACAAAGTCATCCGTTTTCCCGTAAAACGCCGGCAAATTCACCTCTCCGATTCTCCTTTTTACTACCGTACGATTAATATTCGCGAGTTGATCGTTTTCGAAATTTCCCGCTCGAGGTTCACGAGCTGGAGCCGTAGCGATCTATAAATACGCACGATCAAGGTAGCGCGTGGTTGCGTGGTCGATTCCGCGAGTCTCCTTCTAGGCAGATGCCCCCACGGGTTCTTCTCTCGCCGCTGA